CTGTGTGTGTACTGAAGGCTGCTGTGTGTGTACTGAGGGGGGCTGTGTGTGTACTGAGGGGGGCTGTGTGTACTGAGGGCTGTGTGTGTACTGAGGGCTGCATGTGTGTACTGAGGTCTGTGTGTGCTGCAAGCTTCTGGAGTTGTGCAGGTGATTTGCCTGGCAGGAACAGGGAGGAAGAGGCAGTGTTCATGAACAACTGGGACCTGTGTCTGCTTCCTCCAGCTCTGGGCGCCCAAGGCCGCTGTGGAAGAAGGTGATGGCGGTCACCATGGTGGGGGTACCCCTGCTCCTCGGCGTCCGCTACTTCACAGCAGAGGCTCGGGAGAAGAGGAGGATGCGGCTCGTGCTGGACGGTGTCGGGCGCTTCAGTAGGTAGGTGACTACTGGGCTAATCTAGGGTGTCACAGCCTTGTCTTCCCACGTGGGCTGCTCAGGTGCCTGGGGTGGCAGGGCCCCCTGACTCATGACCTGTGATCAGCTCAGGAGTGGCTGCAGCTGTCTTCTAAGTGCTTGTGGGCCGGAGGGTCTTCAGGCAACCCATGGAGACAAGGGTGAAAGGCTGGCCACCAGGCATGGCCTTAGAACCTCTGGAGGTGGGGTCTTGCTCCCCACTGTTCCTCTGCTGAGCAGAGGATCAGTGGCTACTTCCTTTTCTCTCTCTTCTTCCTCTCCCACCTCTCCCCACCCATCGCCCACCAGGCCGCAGGCAAGGGGGACTGCTGTCACCTGTCTGGGGGCTCCTTTGTCTCAGCATGGCTTTTGGGCAGGCACTTCTGCTGGAGAACTTTGCAGTCGGCTCCTGGCCTGGCTGGTGCCTGAGCTCCTGGTCTGCATGAAGCTTGCCAGCTGGGACTCAGTTTCCCACACGCTGCTGTTAACCACAGCCTGACAGCCTGTGCTCAGGTATCGGCAGCAGGGCCTCTGTCCAGCTCTGCTGGCTCCTGGCACTGCAGCCCCTCCAGGTCCAGGCTGACTGCAGGGGAGCCATGCGGGGACTTGAGGGCCATAGTGGAGGCTCCGTTAGGTTTATTCTGCCCCCTGCGAGCTTGTGGGTGGGGGATGGAGGCGGCCCACCTGGGGAAGCCACTCCTGTAGGTGCGCTCCATGAGTGAGGTGGTTTGTCATTTGCCCAGCGCTTCTTGTCATCCGGGTCGCAGGAGGTGTGCTGTGCGTGTCCAGGCCCTTCTTTCTCCTGTGATGTTTAAGGGCAGCGCCTGGGGTTGTCTCTCTGTGATCGCTCCTCTGTGGCTGGCTGAGGGGGAGGTGGGCAGGGGTGTTGGGCCTGAGTGAAAGTGCTCCCATAAGGAGTTGCCCCTCACAGCCACTCTAGTCTGCCGCTTCCTGGTGTTTGGAGACCCAGCATGAAGTGAGGGCTCAGGAACACTGGGCTGGGGCAGGGCAGGCACGCACAGGGTGAGTGTAGGTACACACACTCAGGAACGCAGGGCCGATGTGCACAAGCCCTGAGCTGATGCAGTGATGGTCGTGGAGGAACGCTGAGTGGTTATAGGCAAAGCCAACTGGAGACCTGGGCAGGCCCTCGAGGGCAAGGTACAGAGGGGTGGATTTATTTGAATAGTCACCCACATCTGTGTGATTGCATTCTGGCTGAGTGTGGAAGGTTAGCCTAGCTAATTACACTTCCTCACTCTTTTCATCTATATTTTGTTAAAGCTATCAATGGGATTGTTTTTTAACACTATTTTGAAATAATTTAAAACTTTTAGTAATTTATAAGAATGAAACAAAAACTTACATTTTACATTTATTTTTCTGTTTTTCCCTGGACTGAGTTGTCCACATGCCTGCTCCATCATCCGTGAACCCTTTAGCTGCTCTTTCCAGTAAACAAGGGCATTTTCTGATTCAACCAGAAAACCAAGGAAGTGAGCATAACGAACGTCTGGCCCCCAGCCGCTGCTCCAGTGTCTGCAGGTGCCCAGCAGATGGGCTCTGCGCGGCCGTCACACCTCAGCATCCCCTTGGCTCTCATGGAGCTGGCCTATTTGACAGTTACCAGCCAGTCAGATTGGGCCAAACGTAGCTGGATCCTGTGTGTAAATAAAGCTTTACTGGAGCGGAGTCCCCGCTTTGTGGACAGGCTGCCTGTGGCCACCCTGCAGGGCCAGAGCAGAGGGATGGAGACACACCGTGTGCCTCCAGAGACTCAAGAGTTTCTGTCTGGTCCTTCTCAGAAGTGCAAGCCGTCGCTGGGTCTGTGTCCTGTGGCGTCTTCTCCTGGGCGTGTGCTGTTGCTGCAGCTCTGACGGGAGCAGCGGAGTCGCTGTTTGCAGGGCATCCTCTCATCAGATGTCTGTGGCTCTCGACGAGCTGATGTTCCTGTTACTCGGTGCGCCTGCGTGGGGAGGCTGCCAGCACCTGGCACTCCTCCATTGTGCTTGGTCCCTTGGGTGTCCTGAATCCCAGTGGGTGAATTAGCCGTGACTCTTGTCTCATACTTTGGGCATGTTGCTAGGGGAGGGACATCATGTGTGGAATGGTGGAGGGATGGCGAAGGAGAGGAAGACCGTCAGCTGGATGGATTGACAGCGCCTGCAGCAATGGGCTTGAGTGTGTCAGATGATGAGGACAGGATAGGGTTCCTCCCAGGCTTGACAGATCACTGTGAATCATAGTGATGACTGTCGCCGCCGTTCTGCACTGCTTGAGGGCAGTCTCCACGGAGGGGTTGCTCCTTCCTTGCTGTTTATTTGTTCACATCACTGTGGACCCGGGTTTGATGTCCACTGTTTGATGGGTATCTGCTGACAGGACTTTTGTTGCTGGGATTGCCCCAGGTTTCACTTGAGGACCCCTCTTATCCCCAACATTTCACAATGAGAAATTTGAAACAGTGGAGTTGGCAAGGTATCTGCCTGTCTCCAGGGAGGGGTCTGCATCCTCCTTCCAGCTCCAGCCTTGAGGCTGCTCAGTTCCCCTCCCTGCTCCCAGCCAGCAGGGTGTCTCAGAAGCTTGCTCTGTTTCTAGCTGTGACTCTTCTCCCATTATCTGGGTGTGGTTACTGAGTGTAGCCACAGCCCAGCCAGTTCTCTGCAGGGCACCCACACACAGACTGACCACCAACACCCACTGTCTGACATCTTTTAGACCAAGTTAAAGCCCTCACTCTGGCTTCTTTTCAGCTAGGTTCCCCCCTGCCCCCGAGTTGTTTTGGGTCACAGAGAAGCCGCACAGAGCAAGGAGGCACCGTGTGCATGTCCCATGTGTTGGGTCTGTGGCACTGCAGGGACTTTCCTGGGTACTAGTTACAGACCAAGCCCCTTGGGGACTCCCTGCTTCAATCTTGTGATTGGATAGATGACCATGTCAGAGTCTACCACAGACCCTGCCAAACCCTGGCTGTTCTTCAGATGGCCCCCACAAACCCTATGTAAAAAATTTAATCCTCCTTTTAAAACAAAAGTCTGGAACTTTTATTATAAGAATATTTCACTTAGTATTTAATTCTTTTATTATAAGAATACTTTATTTACTAGGTTTTAGAAATGAAAATTTTAAAACTTCACTTGAGGACACTGATGTGTGCATGTCTGGTGGAGAGGTGCCAGCCACACTGTGCACGTGGAAGCATGTAGCCTAAGATGTCCTGATGTGGACTTAGGATGGGAGATCTCAGAGCCTGTGTCAGCACCTCCAGGGTGCATGTGGGTGCTTGGCCCAGAGGGGCCCATTACGTGTGTATTACACACAGGTTAAGGTAGAATACCACATTACTCTCACCTCTCACACAGACTGGCCCTTTCTAAAGTAAAACCAAGTCAGAAGAGGATGCCCATGGGTGGTGGGTGTCCCTAGCCCTGAGCAGATGCCCCAGAAGACGGCCTGCCTTCCTGGTACTGGCACGGTGGTCCTCTAAGAGTAGAACCAGCACAATAGCTGGAGTACTCTGGGCAGCCTCTTTCATGGACCCCAGAACATTTCTGCTTGGAAAAGGCTCCAGCTTCTCCGAGGGACTGAGCTTAAGGGATGGGTTCAACCTAGTGACCCCTGCTCTTGCTAGAGCCCTCTGACCTGTCTCCCCTTCACTTCCTCAGTTGTACCCCAGCTTCTCCAGCCCCACATGACTTTCAAACTCTGCCCCCCTCAACCCCCTGCCCGCATCTCCCTCCCACCTCACCCGAGCACCCAAGCAGAGCCATGGTCAAGTAGGTGAGGAAGTGGTATGGACAGAAGCTACACAGACTGACCAGGCAGAAACCATTCTGAGCAAAGGAAGGCTTATGGGATCCCACTGTGCCCCATGGTCCAGGGCCTGTGAGTGACCAGGACATCAATGAGCATGGCATCTTCATGTGTCCATCCCACCACCAGGTCCCCTTGTACTCCTCACGGCCCCCTGGGTCCTGGGACCCTCGTGATGAGGTGGGCCACCTCCCTGCCCCACTCAGGCTCTCTGCCCTAGGTCCCTGAGCATCGGCCTGCAGATCTCCCTGGACTACTGGTGGTGCACCAACATCACGCTACGTGGCACGGACGAGGTTTGTCTCTCTGCTCAGCAGAGCTGCCATCTCCAGTGCACCCTACCCTGTGGAGGGGCTGCAAGCCAAGGGCCAGCACTGTGCCCTGGGCTGGGAGAGGGTGTCCACCTGTCCCCACCCCACCTCTTCCCCATGCCTGTGGTCAGAACAGCCCGAGGTACATGGAGGTGATGTCAGCATGTCACCAGCGGGCAGCCGACGCCCTGGTGGCTGGAGCCATCAGCAACGGGGGTCTCTACATCAAGCTGGGCCAGGGGCTATGTTCTTTCAACCACCTGCTGCCCCCTGAGTACATTAGGACCCTGCGTGTCCTGGAGGACAAGGCCCTGACACGGCGTTTCCAAGAGGTGAGGGGTTGTGGGGTGGGCCCTCAAGGGGTCCTCACTTGGCCATGAGGCCCCTGCACCAAGCCTCTCTTCCCAGGTGGATGAGCTCTTCCTGGAGGATTTCTGTGCGCCTGCCCACGAGGTCTTTCTGGAGTTTGACTATAGTCCGCTGGCTGCTGCAAGCCTGGCCCAGGTGCACAGAGCCAAACTGCATGACGGCAGCGACGTGGCTGTGAAGGTGTGTGGGAGCTGGGGGCCTCTCCCGGATGGGTGGGCTTTGGGGGACCTCTGTGCAACCCCCTGCCTGCTTGCCAGGTGCAGTACATCGACCTGCGGGACCGCTTTGATGGTGACATCTACACGCTGGAGCTGCTGCTCCAGCTCGTGGAGCTCATGCACCCCAGTTTTGGCTTCAGCTGGGTCCTCCAGGTGCAGTGACACACGCCTCAGGAGCCAGCCTTGGGTGGCGGGTGGGGTGCTGGCACCATTCTGAAACCTTATGGCCTCAGGACCTCAAGGGGACACTGGCGCAAGAGTTGGACTTTGAGAACGAGGGCCGCAATGCAGAGCGCTGTGCACGGGACCTGCGGCACTTCCACTACATCGTGGTGCCCAGAGTGCACTGGGACAAGACCAGCAAGGTGGGCAGTGTGGGTGGCATGAGCAAGGCTGAGGGCCTGGCAGTGGACAGAATGAGTAAAGTGGGCCTCCTCTCTCCAGCGGGTCCTAACAGCTGACTTCTGTGAAGGATGCAAGGTGGATGATGTGGAAGCCATCAAGATGCAGGGCTTGCTGGTGCATGACGTGAGTGTGTGCGGGTGAGGAGGGAGAGGCTCGGGGCTGCCAGCCTGTCGCCACTTGGCCCACAGCGCTCCCCACCACCTCCTTTCCCTAGGTTGCCCAGAAGCTGGTCCAGACCTTTGCGGAGCAGATATTCTACACTGGCTTCATCCACTCTGACCCACACCCTGGCAACGGTGGGCAACGGTGGGCAAGGTGGTGGGCCGGGACTGGGTGGCGGGCCAGGGCAGCTGGCCCTAAGCCCACAGCTATGCCCCCCCCCCAGTGCTGGTGCGGAAAGGTGCTGATGGGAAGGCGGAGCTAGTGTTACTGGACCACGGGCTCTACCAATTTCTGGATGAGAAGTAAGTGGGGATGGGTAGGGGAAATCCTGCCTTTCTTGGTCACTGTGTGATGACACTGACCCACAGGGACCGCTTGGCGCTGTGCCAGCTGTGGCGGGCCATCATCCTGCAGGACGATGCTTCCATGAAGATTCACTCCGCTTCTCTTGGGGTACAAGGTGCGGGGTGTGCCCAGGAATACAGAGTGGGATGCGGTGTGGGCTATGTGTGCCAGAAGCAGCAGCACAGACCGAGCCTCCTGCCTGCCCCAGACCACCTCCTGTTCAGCGAGATGCTGATGCAGCGGCCAGTGCGCCTGGGCCAGCTATGGCGCTCGCATCTGAGCCGCGAGGAGCTGTCCTACATGCAGGATATGGCACGGGACCACTTTGAGGACATCATGAGGGTACTCAAGTCCTTGCCACGGCCCATGCTACTCGTGCTGCGTAACATCAATACTGTGCGCGCCGTGAATACTGCACTTGGAGGCCCTGTTGACCGCTACTTCCTCATGGCCAAGAGGTCAGTTGTGTCCGGGTCCTGGGGGGTGCAGAGTGGCGGAGCTGGGCTCACCCTTGTCTTTTGGGCAGTGCGGTCAAGGGCTGGAGCCGCCTGGTTGGTGCTGCGTGCCAGGGTGTCTACCGCTTCAGCATCCTGCGCCACATGAAGGTCGTGTGGGAGGTGCTCAAGTTCGAGGTGGCTCTGAGGTGTGTAGACAGCAGACCACGAGCTGGGGTCCTGGGCCAGCTTCCCTACCAGCACTCAGCCCAGTCCTTGCTCCCCCAGGATGGAGGTGGTTCTGATGCGACTCACGGCCCGACTCGTGCGCACCCTGGTTTACCTGGGCCTCCTGACCGAGCCTGAGGGCCTCTATGACTACCTGGAGACCTAGACCCTCTTCATGTGAAACAGGAGGGCCTCAAGAACCAGCGCCCAGGGCTGGCTGCACCAACACTCAAACCTGGTCCCAAAAAGTGCCGCCTGGTGGGGCTCCGCCTCAGCCTGGCTCTGAGTCTGGCAATGACCACGTTTTTTCTCAAACAATCTCCAGTAACATAACAATCATTATTTTTGTGTTTTATACAAAAGTGGAGGGGAGTGGGGGTGGAGGGGCAGCTTGAGACGGTAGGATCTCCCTTGGGGCTAGAAGTGAGCCGTGACGCGGTCTGTCTCCAGCAAGTCATCCAGGATCTGGAGGGAGAGGGGAGGCAGGTGAGCCCACGGGGGTGGCAGGCAGGTGCTCCCCGCATGGGGCTAAGTCAGTGAGCAGGGTAATGGCAGGGGCAGGCGCTCACGATGTCTGGGGTGGTGCCAATCTTCTTGGCCAGCTCGCCACGCTCCATGGTGCTGAGGTAGAGGTAGCGGTTAAGCAGCTCTCCGTCAAGAACGTTGCGTACAGCATTTTGCAGGATGCGTCGATCCACATGCAGCATGCTGAGGGCCAGGGGACAGTCAGAGGGGCTGGGGACCGAGGGTCATGGCCCAGAGGAACAGGCTAGGGAGGCACTCACCGGAAAGCACGGGGGTTGAGGCCGGCGTGGTGGGGCAGCATGGTGGTTAGTGCGTTCTGCAGCATCAGCAGCCGCCTGTACGTCTTTTCCTGCATGGGCAGCAGGAGCCCGATGCCCCCGTCCAGGGTGGCTGGGGGGATGGGAAAGTGAACGAGCAGCATGGCCCCGGGGCGCCCTTGCCCTACGCAGCCTCAGTGGCCCGTCAGGGGTGGTGGCACTGTCCTCACTGCACTCACCAAACCATGTGATGTGTTTGTTCTCCCACATGGCGGATTTCTTGCTGGGCCCCTCCGCTGCACCGCGGCATGGTGTCCTCCAGAAGGTGTTCACGTGGGCGCCCACATGGAAGTCTGCCCGACGCAACAGACGCATCCCCCCAAAACTTTCCTTGGCTGGAGAGGCAGCGGTCACAGCCTGTCCAGCGCCTGCCCCTGATGCCTGTCCCCAAGGGTCGCTTGCTTACCTTCCGGCAAGTACATGTACACCATGAGGTTGCGGTCTCGGTCGGACACTGGGGAGAGGCCACAGGTCAGCCCACAACCCCAGCACAGCTCAGCCCTATCCCTGCCCAGTGCCTACTTACCCAGGAAGCCCAGCTGAGCGTTGTCCACCATGAAGTCCACACTGTACACCTCAAGAGGCTTGGCATCCTGGGGAGGGAAAGAAGGGTCAGGTAGGCATTGGCCATCACTGCCCACACTGGGCTGCCCACACTGGGGACCCAGATGCCCTGGTACCCGAGATACGAGGCTTAGAGTCTTGCTCTCCTCCTGGTAGCGCAGCAAAGAGATGCTCTTCATGACGTCAGCAGCCAAGATGAAGTTCTTGACGCTGATCATTTGGTGGATGTAGAGCTGCGTGTCAATGAAGGCCATGCCTGTCAGCTCGCTGGCCCGTAGGCTCCACAGGAAGATCTAGGGGCGAGTAGGGAGCAAGGTGGGGAGACTGAGTTGTGGGAGCTGACTCCTGGGAGGGATGGGGTGTCAAGTGAGGGACCGATTTCAGGGCAGTAGGGTGAGCAGAGGGGCCAACTCTAAGGGGGCAGAGCACGGGGAGGAGGGGCTGGAAGGGGGAAGGCGCACCTTCTGGCCAATGGCCGACACCAGGTGGCCATTGCAGTGGCAGAGAGCAGTCACAGGTCCCTTCTGCTCCTTTTCATACAGGACTTTGAACTTGTTCTTGGTCAGGGGCTGGCCGGGCTCAGGCACAACCTCGATCACGTCCATGATCAGGATCTGTGGGAAGTGGGGCTGCAGCACTGACCAGTAGAGAAGCTGCAGGAGGCCCCTCTCCTTGTGGGCTCCACCTTACCCGCCCTCGGCAGGTGACCTCCTCTCCCTGCATGAGGCAGGTGCCAGCAGCCACGTAGCCCTTGAGGCCAGACACGGTCTCCTCACTGCGCAAGGACACAGTCTTCATGCATGTCACATGCTCCCACTCCTCCAGCTCGATCCTGCAGGCAGCCTGGTCAGCAGGCAGTGGTAACCCCCCACCCACACCTGCCCAGGCGCAGCCCCACGTGCTGGAGCCCCACCTGGCGTTGGGAATGGCCTCCCAGCTGACTGGAGAGATGAGCTGGATGGAGAATGCTTCCTGCTGGGGGTGGATATAGCGGTCATCTGTGGGGAGGGGGCAGTAGTGAGGAGGGGAATTTTCAGGAGTAGGCAGAGGGTGCTCAAGTGCTTACAGTGGGCAAAGTGGGAAGAGGAAGGAGTGGCCGTGAGAAGGAAGACAGTGGGCAGACACATGGTTACCAGGGACAAAGTGAGGAGGGAGTGATGTGGTAGTCAGGTGGGGAGCGGGCAGAGGAGGGAGGGGTGGCTACACAGTGCCCACTAGAGTGAACGCACCTCTCTCGATGGTTTCGAACTCCTTCTCCTCTCCTGTCATGCGGGGGATGCGTGTGCAGCTAGTGTTGGTGCTGGTGGCCACAGCATACACCTGAGGTGAGGGTGGGGCCAAGCATCAGGAGTTGCTGGGGGTGGGGGGATGGCCACGCTCAGAATTCCCTGGAGAAAGGAGGCCAGACCTTGGATTCCACATGATAGGCCACGTAGTGAGCTGTGCAGCGAAGTGGAACCTTCCTGACGGGCCAGGGTGCGTCATAGGACAGGTAGGCAGGCAGGACACTGATTCGCAGCTCGCCCTGGAGCAGAGGTGCGGCTGCAGTGCCCCGAGACCCGGACACAGGCTCACACAGACAAGCAGAGCCCACCCAAATACTCCCAGGTGACAAAGCTTGTCCTTCACTGCCCAGTGGTGAGTCATCACATCCTGAATATCAGAAGACTTGGGGCTATGGTCAGGGGACAGACCTAGACAAGGGCCACCTCAGGACAGCTAATGATGACTGCTGTGCCCACCTACAGTCCAGCCCACCTGGCAGCTTCAGAAGGGCTCCCAGGATAGACCCCATTCTGTGTGCACGCCCTCAGCCCACCAGCCTCTGGACACCTCCCCATCCCTCTGGCTGTCCTAGACTCTGCAATCTCACCTCTGGATCGTAGCACCTGGCCTGGACCATCAGAGAAGATGGGCACAGCCCTTACCTGCCTGTTGAAGTACAGGAAACCTCGAGGGCAGTTGACATTGTGGAAGGGGGCAAAGGAATCGATGGAGCCATCGATGCCCATAGGGTGCAGCCGCAGGGCCCCACGGCCTGTTACCAGGAGCCAATGCGGAGAAGGGCCGCAGATGAACACCTGGGGAAAGGTGCTATGAGGGGGGCTCCTCCCTGTCACATGTGGGCACCCCCCAACCTGGCCAGTTTGCCTTACCCCAGAGTAGCCATAAATATCTTCAAAGTAACGGAAGCGTGCCACACGGGCTCGGGCCCCAGCCCCTTCCTCAGCACCACTGCCCTCTGCTTTCTTCTTGGATGGCCTTGGTCGCTTCTCCCGGAAGTTGATGTTGTGGGGCACCTGGGGAAAGCCATGTAAGGGCCTGGCCATGAGGACCCTCTTCCACTGTGACCACCCACACCACGGCCCGGGTTGGGTGAGGCCATCTGCACCTTCTTGAAGCGAACTTTGAGGTTGCCCTGGCCGAGCTGGGAGTCATGGGGGAAGGCCTCGTAGATGAGCAGCTCCTGGTCCACGTGCACCTGGGGAGCCGGGGAGACAGGTGTGCCGGGGTCTCAGCATACAAGGGGCAGTGGGGGAATATCAGAACACACAGGGAGCGGTGGCAGGACATCAGCGCATCCCGAGGGACGGTCCACTGTTGTCTGCATGCACATGGGGAGGGGGCCAGTTGTGAGGTCAAAGCAGGGCGCACTGGCTGAGGCCTCACCAGCAGATAGGGCCGGCTCTGACGACTCCCCAGGGCTACCAGCAGCACCTCCCTGACAAGAGGCAGCTCGCCCTGGCGTGTGGCCTCTTCTTTGCGGGCCTCGCCCTGTGAGGTAGGCTGTCCGAAGGAGCTGTCCACCAGCACACGCTGCCCCACAGGGAAGTTCTTCACCAAGAACACCAGCCGCCAGTCGGGAAGCTGGTACACCTGTTGAGATGGCAGTGGTTGACCAGAGCTAGACAGGTGGGCAGGCTGGGCCTGTGGGAGCAGAGTGCACCCACCTCCATGGCTCCATTCTCCCGAACCAGCAGACACCAGTGGGTGGGCTCAGTGCGGAAGGGCAAGGGCTCGCGGTCAGCAGGGGGCTGGCTGCTCCGGCGGGCCTCCTCCTTGCTGGGGCTGAAGAGTGAGCTGGAGTCCCCGTACAGCATCTCCTCCTCGTCGTCCACTGTGGGGCTGGTGGGCAGTGCGTCACAGGGTGCCTCTAGGCTGGGCCCTGTGCCTCCTCCCAGCCCTCTAGTCCAGCCCCACCTACCTGGTCTCTGAGCCCAGGCCTTCAGTCTCTGGCCCACTGCCGGCTGCCAGCTCATCTCGGACCCCTCCCAGCCGGCTCTCGGTGGTGAACATGCCACTGACGTCCCGATATACACAGAGGGTGATCACTTTGGACTGCTGCAGGGAGAGGGGGGCTTGGTAGGGTGGGATGGGGTTGGGACAGGGTATCGGGCAGGATGGGGCACAGTGAGGCAGGGTTGGCCTACGTGGTGGAGCGGGGGCTTGTGCAGTGCCAGGCGGTGGTGGCGGCCCCCATAGGAGTCACTCTTGAGCAGGAACATGGTGACCTGGCCCTCCGCACTCATGATGACCACGTAGGGGTCGGCCACAGCACACTGCACGATCGGGGAGCCCAGGTCCACAGGGATGAAGTGCAGCTGGTTCACTGGGACACAGATAGTGGCTCAGACCAAGGTATTGCCCACACCCCTCTGTCCCCCAGTCACCCTCCCACTTACCTCCTTCTAGTAGCCGGATGCCCAGCGGTGATACTTGAACAATGTAGCGGTTGTCCCCAATGTTGCCAGCAAAGACTGTGGGGCCCTGTGTGGCAAAGCCGCTGGTGTCCAGCTCCATGATCTCCTGCCCGGTCTGCAGGATCTGTGTGGGAGGGTTGGGGGTGAGAACTGTCCCCACAGGAGGCTTCCTCCTCCAGGTCCAGGCCTGCCCTCACCATGGTGGAGTCCTCTCGGCTCAGAATCAGAAAGCCATGCCTCCTGCCCTCCTCTTCTATGTCGGGGGCATTGAGCTCCTGTTCTGCCCCTTCCCCTTTGGGAGCCTCATCCTGTGAGGGCAGAAAGGGGGTGAGACCCATGCTGGACCCTCCTCACACTCTGCACAGGGGTTCTGGAGACAAGCCACCAGCAAGCCCAGCCCAGAAGACCCGGGTCTGGCAGGTCTGAGCAGAAGCCAGCCCTAAGTGGGGACCCAGCAGGAAGGGCAGTCTTTGCAGGCCACCATCTGCACAGGACCTAACAGGCACAGCCCGACCTACCTCCTCCTTACGCACAGGGGCAATGACCGTCCACATGTCATAGCAGCCAGGCAGCTCAAAGGTGGTCACCACCTGGGGTCGGATGCTCTTCTGCAAATGGCCAGGGCATCAGCTCAGCCAGGCACCGGATGCACCCCCTGGCCTTCCGCCCACGTAAAGCCACCTTGCTTACCACCTGGGCTATGATAGGCCCTCCTGCCCACCTATCTCCACACCTGTGCTGTGATGGAGGTGGGTCCTCCCACCTCCCTGTCTACCAACTTGCCAAGCCCGTGGACACACCATGCCCCACCTGCAGCACTGACAGGGCTCCATTCTTCCCATAGCCAGAGCACACCACAATTTCCAGGTCTGGCTCAGGACTGTTCTGGAACTGTACCGGAAAACAAAGTTAAGAACCCTCATCCTCAACAGCACCCGCTTCCTGAGGGCCCCGTGGGTACCTCTTCAGAAAGGAAGGCAGGCTCGCCCATGGCGGCGTTGGCACAGGGTCCAATGTTGAGAATGCTGTCACACACCTGTGGGCACAGCAAGTTAGGGGGACTGAGGGGGTAGGGGTGGGGTTCCCCCAGTCCTGACCTTACCTCAAAGGAATAGGTGGCCAGCTGTGTGCCTGACTGGGCCTCGCTCCCGTACACCTCGATCTCATCCACCTCGTCCTGAGGCACCGACTTGCCCCCTGCATCACCAAGAGCCCAGTGATGGACCTGCACCTCCCACCCCATCCACAGCCCTCACTGACCAGTCCACCTGCCACACTCACACCCCCCCCCTTTTACAATCCCCAGCCCTCACGTAACCAATCATTTCAATCACCTAGTCTCAACATGACCCCTGGCCCCAACCCTCACCTGACCAGCCCAAGGCAGTGTCCACCCTCTTCTTCTTCATGGGAGGCTCTTCCTGTGGGAGGGATGGGCAGTGAGCAGCCTGGACCTCACCCTGCCCTCCAGGCCCTCAAGTACCCACCTTGTCAACAGGGTCTCGGGCAGTGCTGGCTGGGGGTTCCTGCAGCTTCTCCGTGTACTTGAGCAGCAGGGAGTTTCCAAGACGTGAGCCCAGAAACAAATACCCGGGCTCCATAGTGACCATCTGAGGAAAGAGGGGGTGAGGAGCGGTCGCAGCCCAGGGCCAGCCCGACTCCCCGTCCAGCCTGCACTCACACTGGTAGTCAGGACGCTGGCAGCTGCCTTGTCAAAGTGGAAGGCCCGGACACTGCGCATGCCATCAGTGATCAGGGTCAGCACGTAGCTAGGAGTGGTGTGGACACTGGGTGAGGACAGGGCTCAGCTAGGGGGCTCTTGAGGTGAGCAGGGCAGGCAGGGGAGGAGTGCTGGGGTCATGCAGGAAGCGGTCAGGATGGCAGACTCACATCTCCCCACCCTTGAGTGAGATAACCATCTTGTCGTAGGAGATGAAGGCTGCCTGGGCGCAGTCTAGGGTAATTCGCAGACCCTCCTGGACCCCTACAGAGAACTGGGCAGTCAGGAGGCATAGAGGATGGCCTGCTCCCTGGCCCCTCTGGTTTATAACTCCAGCACCAGTCCACTGCCCTGCCCCTTGCCCCACCCTCGTCCCACAGTGCACTAAGGCCACCGACTCACGCAGTGGGAAGGCAGTGGTGCCCGAGGTGAGGCTGTTGAGGGCCACCCCATAGGGAGGGACACTCTGGTTCAGGTAGAGCAGAGAGTTGACCGCAAATACCACGACCCCACCTAGAAGACACAAGGATCTGCAGGCTTCCAGCTTCCTGCAGATGGCCCCGCCCCATGGCCCCGCCCCTCACCTATGGGCTTGGGTACTGCCAAGGCCTGGGTGCAGTCGAAGGGCAGGTTGTTGAGTGACCAGATGACGGGGTGGACCTTCTGGGTGATGTTCAGTGAGATAGCCACGATGGAGCACGTGTCCTGCCTCACTGCCACCCTCCTGAAGGCACAGGAGGGTTAGGGAGATACTGCCTCCCCCACCTCGCCCCCCACCTGGGCCCAGGAGAGCCCTGCCTTACCCAGGCCAGGTCTGATTGGGCTCAAAGAGGATGAGCAGGGTGGGCTCATAGTAGCCATGCAGGAACTGCAGGTCAATGATGTTGAGCAGCTTCTCGTCCAGGGCTCGGACATCAATGATGTAGCTGGGCAGGAAGCTGGACCTCTGCCTGCGGATGCAGGACTTCTTAGGGGAGCGCCTAGGGCAGGCCCTGGGGAGGGGGTGTCCACCAACCATGCAGCACTCACCCCTCGCCTACTAGTCCCTCGTGCTCCTCGGCGAGGCTCTCTCTGCGAAAGGGCAGCACCACCAGCCTCGTGCCATATGTGAGCATGACCGCACAGCGCCCATCAGGGTCCACTCGCACCCTCGGCGTGTGCACATTCTGCACAAACCCATCCTGGGGGCAGGGGCCATCAGCCAGGAGGTAGGTGGGGGACCCAATCCCAGGGGACTAGAGTGATGGGGGATCCTAACTCCAGGGGACACGGAGGATCAAGGACTCTGATCTTGAGATCATAGGGACAGGGACTTGTCCCAGAGGCTGCTTGGGGGAAGGCAGGCCAGGCCTACCCGTAGCTCTGCTTCCTCAAAGTAGTGCAAGGACAGCGTCTTCAGGTCATGGGTACCGGGGTCATACTCCACCACCGAGAGCTGCAGAGGTCAGGGTGCAGGTCAGGGCTGTACCATTTCCAGGCCAACATCCCCACTGGTTCCCACCTACCACAGCTCCCACTCCTACCTCCAGAGAGCCCTGGCTCCCACTCCACCAGCTTGCCCACCTTGGCATCCTGGAAGCTCAGAAGGAGGGCATCCCTCTTGGCACCTGCCAGCTGCACACTAGCCATAGACATGACATTCCCAAAGAAGGAGAAGGAGGCCACCAACTCCAGCCGCTCTCGATGCTCCCGGTGGGCCCTCCCCTCTGTGGGAGAAGCCAGAGTGTGGCCTAAGCATGCGCCACCCCCAGCCACCCCCAATGCAGGTGCAGAACCCCTAACAGCCCCTCACTCACCCGTGCCTCGGTCACTCTTGGTCAGCGCCTGGAATAGAGAGTCACACCAAAGGAGCACATTGTGGGCACCAGCGGGCACCAGCCACTTCACCCTCAGACGTGATGGCAGGACCACCCCAGGAAGCAGCACTCCCACCAGCGTTCACGGGCTGTACTGCTGTCAGCAGCACACTCAGGAAGTGAGTGTCTGGTGAGATGTTTTCTTTTACAGAAAGACCTCATTTCCAGTTCTGTCTCCCTCATGACTGTAAAGGCCTCTCTGTTCTTGGTGGTGATTGTTATGTGCCATCAAGTCACCTGCGACTCATAGCAACCCTCTGTACAAGAGCCCCTAGCCCTGCTCTATCCCATGCCAATCTTATCTTTGACACACCTATCCCCATTACCCCAGTGACTGAATCAATCCATCTCATCGAGAGTCTTCCTCTCTTGGGCTGTCCCTCCACCCTCCCAAGTATGATGTCCCTCTCCAAGGACTGATCCCACCTTGCAACATGTCCAAAGGATGTCAGATGGAGCTTCAGAATCCTTGCCTCCAAGGAGCCTGGCTTCACCCTCTCTAGGACAAACTTGATTGTTTTCCTAGCAGTCTATGGTATATTCAATACTCTTCTCCTGCACAAAAGCTCAAAGGCATCCACTCTCCTTTTATCATCCTTAGTCATTGTCCAGCTCTCTGATGCATAGCAAGTAATTGCAAAGACTATGGCCTGGATCAGGCGCACCTTAGTCTCCAGACTGACATCATTGCTCTTCAGTACTTTGGAGAGGTCTCTGACAGCAAACTTTCTCAATGCAATTCGTCTTTTAAGTACCAACAGTGTTGATTGTAGAGCCAAGCAAACTGAAGCTGTCAACAATCTCAATCTCTTCCTCATCTATCTATCATGATGCTTCCAATCAGCCCAGTGGTAAAAATCTTTGTTTTCTTGATGTTGAGCTTCAATCCATATTGAAGGCTGCAGTCCTTGACCTTCTGCAGCAAGAGTTTCAGGTCCTCAGTTTCCGTTTCAAGCAGAGTTGTGTTATCTGCATAACTCAGGTTGTTGATGAGTCTACCTCCAATCCTGATGTCACACTTCTCCTCATAGAGCCCAGCCTCCTGGGTAATCTGTTTCGCATATAGACTGAAAAGATATGGAGATAGGACACATCCTTGATGTACACTCTTCCCAATTCTGAACAATTCAGTGTTTCCTTGCACTGTACTGACGACTGCCTCCTGGTCCAAGTATAGGTTTTGCACAGGCACTATCAAGTGTTCTGGGATACTAAAATAAAAATGAAAATTGTTGCTGTGATATCAGAAAAGACTGAAGCTGTAAATTATGCAGGAGGAGAATGTCCATCTTTCTGTCACCGAGTCACTTGTGGATTTGAACCACCAGAGATGTGCAGACTTTGGGTCAGGAGTGCAACTCTCTACAGATTACCCACCAGAGTTCCCTTCTTGGCTCTGAGTATTTAAAACAAGCATACTATTCACCAACTCCTCAGGGCAAAGTAAAAGTTTAAAGAAAAGGCTAACTAAGCCCTCTACTAAAAAGATAAACTCAAGCAAAGTAAAGGCCTCAAAGGGCCAGAAGGCAATGCTGAAGTGTATCCATAGCCCTCCCCACAGGAGCCCCTAATATTATCCACCTTCCAGCACAAGACACTGAGGAAACTTGGAAAGTGCCAAGTTTGTTCTTTCCTTTGGTTTTCTGACTCCAGATCTGTGTGTCTTTCATTGTACTAATTTGCAGTTGTCTTCTCAGGCCTCCATTGAAACTCTTGATTTCATCAACTCTTCCATTTGCTTTTGCTTTGGTCTACAGTAAGTTTCAAGAGTCTTTTTGGCCTCCAGGGATCAAACTGGTTTCACTCTCTCCAGGAAAGCCCTGTTTGTTCTCCTGGCGGTTCACAGTAAGTTCAACATTCTCCTCTAGCACCACAACTCAAAGCATCAATCCTTCTATCATCCTTAGTTACTGTCTAGCTCTCTGATGTATAGCAAGCAACTGAGAATAGTGTGGATTGGATCAGGTGCACCTTAGTCTCCAGACTGACATCTGTTGCTCTTCAGTACTCTAGAGAGTTCCTGACTTTCCCAATGCATTTCACCTTTTGATTTCTTCATTGCTGGTGCCAAGAGTGTTGATTAAGGAACCAAGCAAGCTGATGTTATGAACAATCTCAATCTTTTCTCCATCCATCATGAAGCTGCCAATAGGCCCAGTGGTGAGAATCTTGTATTTGTGCCCATTCCATAAATAAGTAATCCAAGAGAATATGGAAAATAACATTATCATTAATACCACATTCAAGTAAAAGCTTGCTAAGGATAAAATAACAAATGAAGGAACTATCTGAAATTTTAGGTGGGTTTAGAAGAAAGTGTGGAATAAGGGTTATCCTGCCTGACAGCAATGGATTAAGAGTGGAAACAAGGAACATAAGAGAGATGTTTCAGCTCAGTGTCGTGGAGTAAGATCTAACTTGAGCTGACTCAGTTTTCCAAGATGGTTGCTTTGGGTTGTTTTTGTTTTGTTTGTTGTTTGTTTTTTTTTATGAGAGGAGACTGTCTATACTTCTACAAAGCTACTGGAAAATTCAAACTGCCAAGAAAGGTGTCACCTTTGCATCGGCAGCCCGACTCCCTAAGACTACAGAGTGCTCCCTTGATGCTTACCTGTGTTACCCGATTATGCAAAAGCTCTGTGTGGATCCTAAGAAATTATGGAAACTTCCCCCCTCTTTTTATTATTATTATTAATTTTAATGAACATTTACAGAGATTTTGGATTTCTATTCATTCATTGTTGCACTTTTCTCCCTGCCCACCCCCACAAAAAAAAAAATATGGATACTTTATAAAGAATGAGAATGACAGAACACTTCAATGTATTTGTGTGGAATCTGCACAGAGATCAAGAAACCAGGCTGTTCCTTGGAGGCAAGGATGGTGACACTCCATCTCACATACGTTGGACATGATGTCAGGTGGGTCCAGTTTTTGGAGAAGGATATCATGCTTGGACAGGTGGAGGCTCAGCACAAGAGAGGAAGACAACAAGACGAACTGGCAATGGGCTCAAGTGTGTCATCAGAGATGGTGAGCAGGGCTCAAGAGAGGCCTCGGTTCAGAGCCGCTCACAGGGTTGCTAGGAGTCATAACTGACTTGAAGGCACATATTAACATCCTAAGGTGAATTCTACCACGAGGGAGGCAGTCACTCTTTAGAAAAACCAGGCAGAAAAGTTCAAAAGAGCAGCATCTGCCCCAGGGGACAATGGAAATGAGAACAACACAGGGAAGAATGTGCTGGCAAGTAATATTCAAATTGAACGAGTGAAAAATCTAGTCGCATCAACCCTAACAAATGACAGAATCCAAAAGCAATCTGCTTTGTAAACTGCCATTCAAATCACAATTTAAAAAAAAAAAAAGCTATGGGAATGGAGACAGGACACATCCCTGGCGTACGCCCTTCCCAATTTTGAACCATGCAGTGTTTCCTTGCTCCATTCTGACGACTGCCTCCTGGTTTTGGTTCAGTTACAGGTTTCACATTTTAGCACAATCAATTGTTCTGGGATTCCCATTCTTCCCAGAGTCAGCCACAGTTTGTTATGATCCACACAAACGCCTTTATATAATCAATGAAACACAGATAGACATTCCTCTGGTAATCCCTGCTTTCAGCTAAAATCCGTCTAACATCAGCTACAATATCCCTAGTACCACGACCCCTT